ATATATATATATATAAAATACACACACACACACATATATATGATCATGAGCTTTTATGTGTAAGAAAGACCCACTTCATCACATGAGTGGGAGTGGAAATAACAGAATCCAAGATATATATATAACAGCAAAAGAAGTACCTATCCATTGTAGGACCCCTGTTAATGAAGCTAATTAAATGGGATGGATATGTCCCATTCATATCTTTTGATGTGAAAATGCAGGTGTTAAAAGCAAGGGAAATTGGCTTTGTAGTGCATTAATTAGTTAATGTCTTTATTCAAGCCCAGGGTAACAGTGTCAAATTTAATTTATTATAGATCTCAATAGATCAGATAGATGGATCAAATTTAGAAAACATTTCACCTAGCACTGAAATGCAGATGTTTTGGGGGGAGGAATGTGGAAGATACTAAAACATGCAACACTGTACAACAGTTTGGCCACAAATTGCAGAATATCCTGGCTGCACTAAAGTCAATAGTCAATAGTAGTTTTTCTGTTGATATCAATGGGGCCAACATTTCACTTACTGTATCCACATCAGATTGAAGTGAAGAATGGATTTTTAAAACAGGTTGAAACTCTCTGGTCCAGCAACATCTGTAGTCTGGTATGATTTTAGTTAGCCAGATGTCTACTTATCATGAGCATCAAGTTTCCTGCAATCCCATAAAGTTTGTTTATAGCAACTAGTCCTGACTCTCAGCGTTCTGTGCTGTTATTTAGCTCTAATTTACCCCAAATGTCTTCTAGCTGACCAGTAAGCAGTGGAAGCATTGGTAATGCTGCTAGACAATATTGCCTTCCCATAGGTCAGCAAATTCTCTGGTTCAGCACCAGTCAGGTCCTGAGGGTGCTAGACTAAAGGGGTTCAACCTGTAGTCCAAACGTAATTACTCAAGGTGAGATTTCACTAGGACACTGGGGCTAATCCAAAAAGACCAACCTTGTAGCTTCATGATTCCTGATATTGCTGGATAATTTCTTGTTTTGTGCCATGGATTATCAGGCCACTGGCTGGGTTCTGAGCTAAATGAAGGCCACAGAATCCCGATGCGACCTCTCTGAGAGTAATACGGAGCTCGATCCCTAGAAGTTGAGACAGCTGAAAGGGGCTTGATCCTGTCATTAATGCAGTCAAAAGTTGAGCTTGTTGCAACAATAACAGAGCTCCTAATTTCTATGTATTTTTTCTCCAAACGATGCTGTTCAGCAGATGGGCTGTACACAACTGGCAGAACACCAACAGCATTGTCCACTAGCATCATATTTTCCATCACTACACTGCTTTCCACTTGGAACATCACACCATAGTCGTAATTCTTGTAGGACAGAAAACCAGTGATTTTGGTGCAGTTTTGAAACCCGTCTCTATATAAATGTACACCATGAAGACTTGAATGGGCCACATTTTCAGCACAATATTCTCCAGCTAGGAAGCATTCTTGCCCTCTGATGTGGAAGGCTATACGCTCCGATCCTGCCACAACATTGCCAAGAAGAGGAGAGCCATCTAGTCGATTCACTTTAATGCCAGCGATCCAGTTTGGAAACCCCTCTGGCTGCCTGCTCAGAATGATAAGGTTCCTGATGAGAGAATGGTTTTGGCCTTCCACGTCAATGCCAGGGCCAATCGTGTTGAATACCACGTTGTCCCACAATGAGATTCCACTGCTTGCCACTGCTTGAATGCCGCTTCCGCAGCTTTGGTGAATGCTGGAAGAGAATACTGAGGATTCATAGAATACATTACTAAAGTCAATGGCAGGGAGCTGTGATGGCCCAAAGTTCAGCATTTCAACGTTTGAGAGTTGAAGGACACCTATAACAGGGGAAATGAAGTGAGATGAAAAGGTGATTGCAGGGCAATTAACGTGTGGGACTTATTTCGTCAGTAAGAACATAAATAAAATGCCAAACAGGCATTAGTTTCTAAAACAAGAACAAGTGCTCTTAAAAATCTGAATGTTTTCTGTTTAATAATGTTTCCTATTTGCTAAGCCATTAAACGAAGAGAGCCGAAACGGCAGCACCAGAGAATTTTGTCTGAGCCACTTTTTTTGAGCAAAAAAAAAGGAAGAGCTCCCCACCAGACCCCCAGAGTTGTTGAGGGGAAAAAAAGGGGGACATTGCCCCTTTAAAAAAAAGACAAGCCTTTTTGGCCACATCAGGCTCTTGGCGACGCCATTTTGAATTGCCGCACCGGACAGCTCCCCTGCCCTGGTGAGCACAGGGGGCTGGGGACCATGTCTAGGGGTACGGGGATGGCTTCGTGAGCCATAGGGGTGGCTTTGCAAGCCACACTTTAAGGGGGGAGGAGTCGCAAGTGGCTCACAAGCTGAGGGTTAGCCACTCCTGTGCTAAGCACTCATTATGTGCTTACCATTGTACAATACATACAGAAAGTTAAAACCCTGCATCTAACTGCATCCTGAGCTGGACTGGACAGAGTATTTGTGATGGACCGATATGACTGGTTCTGAGTGGGAGAGTTTCAACTACCTGCAAATTCTCTTCCGCCGGTATTTCCAAAGCGTCCCACTAGAAGCCTCCCAGAGCAAGCTGTGTCCGACTTAATCTGCACGTTGCGTGTTAGAAGTCCAACCTCAGCAGCCAAAGGAACACGCCTGCCATCATCTATGCTATGGGAACGCCCTGTGGCATTTCAAAATAAGAAAACAGAATGAATATCTAGGATGTTTCAGTAGCCAGTGCTTTGGGGATGTCTCATTTGACAACTGATTTTTGGCTTCCCCTCAGAAGCTGAACTGACTTTCAGGCTTGATTTTCCTCAGGGACTCTCTGAAAGTACCAACAAAGTGAAACAGCTGTCTGCCTGCCGCTATTTGGGATAAGAGTGTATTTTACCAAAATCCTTTTGTTCCCAGTAAAGGCAAGTCCTGAGTCTGTTCACTGGGAGCACTGCATGCTAAACCAATGAATAGATTTCCACTACGTATTTTTGAACTATATCAGCTGGAGACCTTAATATTTTGCACTAGGGAACTGATCTCTTTCCTGGGGCTGTGAATTCACACAGTGATCAGCCTGGAGATGATGCTAAAAACCAAGTTACTATAAAAACCTCGCACTAAGAATGCACATATAATACAATACTCTAAGAACACAGTCCTTCTAAGGAGGAAATTCACTTGATAAAAACGGTCCACAGAAGGCTTTCCACAATGCTTAATTTCCACTTGACTCTTTAAGCATAGAATCATAGCATACTAGAACTAGAAGGGACTTCGAGAAGACATCAAGTCCAGTCCCCTGCCCTCATGGCAGGATCAGTGGTTCTCAAACTTTTTGGGCTCCGGAGCCCTTTACATACGTAAAAAATTATGTGGAGTCCCAGGGGTCCACTGATTGTATGTGTTGTACCTATCGATGTTTCCAGTTTGTCAGCCTCGTGGAGCCCCTGGAGATGTCTTGCGGAGCCCTGGGGCTCTGTGGAGCACAGCTTGAGAAACACTGATATAGATTATCCCTGAGAGATGCCTAGTTAACCTGCTCTTATAAATATCTCCAATGATGGAGATTCTACAACCTCCCTAGGCAATTTTTTTTAGTCTTCCCTCATGGGTCATGGTTGTCTAGACCTTTCATCATTTTTGTTGCTCTTCTCTGGGCTCTACAATTTCTCTACATCTTTTCTGATATGTGGTGCTCAGAACTGGACACAATATTCCAATTGAGGTCTGATCAGCGCAGAGTAGGGTGGAAGAATTACTTAATACATGTAGCTCTTTGGTCCTGTTGGGTGATATTCATCCCAGTGATGAAGGCCTGTTCAATCTCCTTGTGCAAGAAATCTTCCTTTGACTTACAATTAGCAATTCCAGGGATGGTTTAATGGAACCATACCTGCTTACTCCTAAAAATCTCAAAGGATGAAATCCTGGCCCTACTGAAGTCAATGGCAAAACTCCCACTGACTTCTGTAGAGACAGGATTATACCTGGAGTGGCATTAAGTGTCACTTCTCCTGTAGTACAGGCAGAATCATTCTTACTTACGTCTGACACTATCCTCTTATCAATACTGAGATGCTGGTGCAATGCTCAAGATGAAAATGGATAAAGGCTTCACTGGAAACATTCACAATTGTTCTGATCCATTTCATTTATTATTCACTTAAATGGAAGTTAGCCTGAGTAAAGACTAAGTAAAAAACCAGAGAGGACCAGATTTGCAAATACTTATTGCCAGGTATAAAATGTACTACCCAATGGTTTTATAATTAATGGACCATATCCTGAGGTCTTCATGATCCTGACTGTATATGGCATCTTCTATAAAAAATATACTATAAAATACTTTACGGAATTAATAATTAATAATTAACAAAAAAATAATTATAATTAATTCATTCATTCATTCATGTTAATATGTTATCATAAAATGACATGTAAGTCTCTCTCTATATAAAAAAAGGTTTTCCTGAGGTTTTCACTCACATCACTCTGCTCCCAACCCCAGGCCATGATCCCTGCCCGCACTTCTAAGACTTGTGGTTTTGGCTCTCACTGGCCTGTGTGGGCAGCAGCATTAGCTGCAGCCGGACTCTCCTCCCCAACAACAGGCCCGGGGCTCTCCCGGCTGATCCTCTGGGCTACCGGTGCTTCTTGCGGCTTTAGCACAGAGCCGGGCTCTGGCAACAGCCATGATCTCCACTCCCACTCCTAGTGCTGAGATGCTCTGGGCCCCACCGGCCCCACGCAGGCATCAGTGTTAGCTGTAGATGGGCTTTCTGCTTCAGCAGCAGGCCCGGGGCTCTCTGTGGGCCAACAAAGCAGGGCCAGGGTTCAGCCCTGCCCAGCTGCCAGTGGCAGAGCCAGGCCTGGTGCGCTGCATCCTGGGCCCTCCAGGCTGGCTGGAGAGGGGAGTTAGGGTTAGGCTTGGTGGGGAGGGGAAGAGCAGGGATTGGTGTGTCCTCAGCTGGGATGGGGGGAAGGGGTAGGAGGTGGAAAAGAGCCGGAGTTGGCACAGCCTGGGCCAAGCGGCTGGGGGAAAAAAGCTGGGGCTGGTGCAGCCTGAGGCCGGGGGGCTGGAGGAAAACATCCAGGGCTGGCATGGCCTGGGCTGGAGCACCAGGGACCACGGGGAAGAGCCAGAGCTGGGGTAGCATTGGATCAGCCCACTTCGGTGGCCAGGAGGAGAGCCGGGGTTGCCTATGCCCCAGAGAAAGGGGTGTTAGCAAGCATAGAGAGCAAGGGGGACAGCCCCATAGTAAACCATTAACAATACTTTTCTCTCTGTAGGTAGATACATATTTCTGTACAGATTTTATATCTCTGTATGTATTATATATGCACATGTATTTTACAGACACACAAGATCTGTTCTAAATGTTTTCAAGGTGTGAAATTCAATTTCAAATACACACACACAAGAACCTGGGATTTTCGAGGAAATAGTCCGCATTGGCCTAATTCTGCTGCCACTGAAGTTAACAGTAAAACTCCCCCATGCTGAACAGTTCTGAACTTTCCACCAGCTACATAATACAAACACGAAGCGGCATATGGAGAAAGAAGCGAAGATGCATGAAGAAAGGCGAGGGAGTCAGGAATGTAGGTTCTCAGGGAGATTGAAAATGGGCAAGTAAGGCAAAGCCACAGTGGAAGTCTGGGCCAGGTGTCAGAGCCCCAGAAACAGACGGTCAAACCACAAGTAGTAAGTATGTGGAGAAGGATGGTGGGGAGGCAGATTCTGTATATAGCAGATTTCTTACCAATATGCCTGTGGAGAAGACGTTCCTGGAATTTAATGCTGCGACCATTTATTTCTTTAAGTGTGACTACCTCAGCTTGATGAGCATCATACGAGGAGGAACTGATGACAATATTTCCACCAGGACTCCAGTCCACTTCATCCTCGACCCAAATTCTGTAACCCCACAAAAAAATTAAGTGGTCGCCACTATAAGCTATGAGAAAAGGCTATGTTCATGGAATCCTTGAAAAAGAAGAAAAATCTTGCCAAGGCAAAACTAGCAGAGACTATTCAATGTGCTACCTAAACTCGGATCCTTCAGTGCTTTGACACATTCATTTCTAAGAACTTATTATGTTGTGCCAGCCTCACATCCTTTGTTTTGTTGTTAATCTGAAGGACTTGATATACTGAAATATAAGAAACATCTTTCTAGGAGCTTGTAGATTTCATTGGGAAGTCAATACTGTAGCTTTGTTACAAAATATTTTGCCACTGGAACTTTTCCAGAGTTTTGGACACCAATTACATTTTGATTAATGGCATCAGGTTGGGACTTAGTGTGTGGCACTGCTGCCTGAGGTTAACTGAGCTCTGTGCTTAAAGGGATCCTACCCCCACCCTGGACAGACAGTTCTCAGAGTTCTCCGCTTGCTTGTCTACCTCGATGAGGGACAGCAAAGCAGTTCTATTTGGAGTGCCCTGAGTGCCCACACTCGGGACACCACAGCACTTGGCCACATGGAGCCAGAGCTGCCCCTGGGCATGCCGGTGCATCTTGTGGGGTCGTTGCCATCAAACTGGCTGCACTTGCTGCAGGCTGCCATCCGGGGGTCCATTGGGGGGCTGTCAGGATCCAGGAGGCCCCGAGGGAGAGAGCGTCCACCGGGCTGCCATCCAGCAGGTCCATCGGGGGGCTGTCAGTATCCAGGAGGCCCTGTGGGAGAGCTTGCATCCTGGGGAGCACTAAGAGCCTCCCTGGTCTGCCCCACTGGGGGCTTGTGCCTCATTCCGCCCTCACGTACTTCCTCTTACCCCTCCCTAACCCCCCTTCCTGATGTCAAATAAAATACATGTATTTTCATAAACACGAACGCTCTTTATTTAACAAAACTGGGAAGGGATGAAACTGGTGAGACTGGAGAAAGGCGGTGGGGGACGGGAGAAGAGGGCATGAGAGAGGGGAGATGGAAAACTGGGAGGAGGGAGCTGGAAGGGGGAAGCAAGGGGAAGAAGGAGGAGGGGAAGCTCAAGGTTGGGGGGGTCTCACTGGACCAATCTGACTTTCATGCAAACCTGATCCCGGGTTAGCATGTGGCCTTTGGTGGCCAGGCTGGCAGCTATCCTATCATAGACGGCTGTGTTTCTCTGTCTAGGGCTGAGGTCATGGAAGTTGGGGGCATCCCCCCCAAACCTGAATAAGGTCCATGATCTCCACCCTGGACCAGGAAGGCACCCACTTTCTCCAGCCCCTGTCAGGCTCCTGGGAGCTGGCAGACTGCTCCTGGGGAGCGGTGGAGGGCTGGCTGCCAGTGGCTTGCTGGCTCATGTTTTGGGGCCACTGGGTCAGGGGCAGTGACTGCTGGCTCTGGGCTGGCAGGCTTGGAGCTGGCACAGGCACTGTGGCCAGGGTCTACCCCTTTAATGTCTCCGGGGTGGGGTGGGGGGAGAGGAGAGTAAGCTTTCCTGGTTGTGCTCAGAGTGGCCACCAGGGCTCTCTGGGAAGGGCTGGAGGCCCCCGTATTTCAAATTAAGTGTCTACACAGCACTTAATTCGAAATAGCTATTTCAAATTTGGCATTACTCCTTGTAGAGTTTTACCAAATTCGAAATAAAGGCTCCACTATTTCGAATTTATTTTGAAATAGCGGTTTGCCTGTGTAGATGCTATTAAAGTTAATTCGAAATAACTGCTGTTATTTCGAATTAACTTTGAAGTGTAGACATACCCTTAGAGACTAATAAAAATATTAGGTCATGAGCTTTTGTGGGCAAATGAACTCCAATTCAGCTGTCTCCCTCTCTAATTGGGTGATAAAATTCCTTTGGAGACGAATGACTACTTTTACATCCATTATGTAGTTCATTTACAAGTTCAACACTATCAGATGGCTTGAACAAATATATTAACTAGTTAACACACTACAAAGGCAATTCCCCTGCCTTTGATACATTTCCACATCAAATGCTATGAATGGGACACATCCAGTCTGACTTAATTAGCTTCATTAACATTGGTCCTACAATTGATATGTAACAGCTTTTCCTGTTATACATATCCTGGATTCTGTAATTTCCACTCCTACTCATCTAATGAAGTGGGTTTTACCCACAAAAGCTCATGTTCTAAAATGTTTGTTAATCTCAGAGGTTAGGGCTACACTCCAGTCCTTTGTCATAAAAAGATTTTTCCGATAGCTTTTCTGGAAAGGCTTTTCTGCCATTTGGCCCAGTCTAGATGGGGCCAAATGGCGTAAAAGCCTCCTCTTTCAGCAGAGCCCTTATCCATCATGGAAGGAGGTATACAGGGCTCCCCTAAAGAGCGCATTTGCTCTTCCACAAAAGAAAGCAGAAGAGCAAATGCGTTCCTTGGACACTGTGGAGTTTTTCCAGCATACCTCCAGTATCCTGGAAAACCCCCACAGTGTAGACATAGCCTGCTCATTGTTTTTAAAGTTACAGGCTATCCCTCTGAGACATTTCCAAGAAGTTTAATATGAGGAATACAATAAGTCAGAATTGAAAAAATGGTCTTTATGAGTCATCATTTCAGTTAGTAAACTGCTGAAATAGTGATCTCGGCTTTCATTTTCTCTCATCTTAACTAATTAAGTAATTCCTCCTTTTAGTTGCCAAGCTCTTTCTCTGACTCATTTGAGGACTCATGCTTGGAAGTTCAACTTAAACCCTCTGCCCTAATTTAAAGTTCTCATATTGACTTGCTCATCTTCTAACCTTCTAACCTTATTTCTGCCTAATCAGGTTCTTATTATAACTGCTCATAGAATTTATGTGCAAATGTTATTTTTGACAAAAATGTTTTTAATCAATATGGAAATGTCTTCTGGGGTTTTAGCTATCTTAGGTATTGCTAAGGCCCCCATCACCAGAGTATATGATAGCCTCATACTCTTTAATTTAACAGCCCTGTGAGGTAGAGGAGTGCTATGATCTACATTTAACAAGCAGGGAACTAAAGCACAGAAAGGTTAAGTGATTTGCCCAAGGTAGCCAGACAGTCTGAGACACAGCAGGAACTCGAACCCAAAATCCTAGTGCTCTAACTATTGGGTCATCCTTCCTACTCTTTTTTTCCCCCCATCAAAAAATAACAAATCTAAACATTCTTCTCTGAAAACCAAAACAATGTTAGGTTTTCATATGAATCTTTTTTGGAATATGATTGCAAATAAAAAAAGCAGAAACTGATTTTTTTAAATGTTTTTGACATCTGAAAAAAAAATCAAAGTAAATTTAAATGAAAAAAAAATTTGTTTGCTTTTATAGAAGTTATTTCACAGAGAGGAAAAACAAAACAAGTATTTTCTGACCAGCTTTAGTTCTTTTACCATTACCGTTATTAAGATAACTGAGGCCACTTGTCTAGTCCATTCTCTATAGTCCTAAATAAGATTTTCTTCTTCATGGTGTTTCCACAGGAGTAATAAATCCTGAATCCTTACCACTACTATCAGGAACTGCTTCTCTTCATCCAAAGGACCTCCATCAAATCTTGTCTGAAAACCCATGTTATCCTTGATCTCTCTAGCATCATCTTTCATAAATGACCTTTTATGATACACTCTATCAGCCTTTATTAACCTATCTTACAGTAAAGAATGGCAAATATAAAGAAAATGTATGCAAGTGTGTGGTTACAACATTGGATTGCAACTTGGTAGATTTGAGTTCAATTTCTGGCTCTTCCGCAATTTCATTGTGTGACCTTGAACAAGTCATTTCATCTCTCCATGCCTCTGCTTTCCCATTCTAAAAAGAGGATGATTCTAATACTTTTTTCTCCAAACCCATGATTTATCCTCGGTCACCTGTCAAAGATGACCATGAAATCACCTGACAAGAGATTGATGGGATACATAGGTCAGGAGCTGAGCTAAAGTGAGGGGGAATGCATGTAGGGTTTATTATTTTATATTGAACTATGTATTCCTAAGTAAAGAGCAGCAGAGTTGTAGACCTTCATGCAAAGTGTCTATGAGTGAACATAGAAAACCAAACTAATTACCTGGAGATACCTCTGGGCAAAACCTCACCTTTCATTACCAGGTGCAATGTCACTTCCAAGATGTGTCCAGGATTTCGTAGGATAAGCACTATGAATCTGCACCTTCCCATAAACCCCTGGAAGAAAGGGATAAAGCCAAAAGCTAAGGAGCGACAAAGAGTTCAGTTGAATCCAGAGCACTAATGGCTTCACGCAGAGAAAAAAAATTGTCCTAAGTGTTCCAAAGAGTTTTAAAGATTTCAATATGTTTTGCACCTAGAACATTCATTTGAATGTCAAAGTGAATGCTGACTGTAATCAGGACTAGAAGTAGGTAATTAGTAAAATAATAAGGTGGAGCATTACAAAGACAAGTAGATGATTTAATCACTGAATTCCCATGAAATTGGAGTTGTGTAGCAAAACACCTAACTGGCTTTGAAAATCTTACCCCTGATCAATAAGTAAATAATACATTTTTAAAAAAGATATATAGTAGAACTGAATGAACACCAACATTTCTGTCCTGTGGAAAATTCTCGTATTTAAACATTTGTTTTTGCCCCAGATCAGGATGAAAATTTGAAATTTCTTTTGAAAGTGGATTGTAGTGCAGTACCAGGTTCAATTTCTGTAGACTGGCTATTCCACAATGTGCTCTTTCCATGAAAATGACAAAATATTTTTCATACCGATAGTTCCAGGGCGAACACTAATTCCATCCAAACGATCACAATATACTCCCTCAGATGCTCGAAGAAGGATCAATAGCTTCACTCCTGTTTCTAGGGGATGTTGCAAAGTGCCTGCAATAAAGAAAAGGAGAGAGGCTTTCAGTGGCCACTGTGATGAGGAAAGAAAGAGAAAAGTATATATTAGGAAAACATTATACCGGAGGTCAGACTGGAATGATGTCAGTGGTCCCTTCAGGCTATAGAATCTATGAAGGAGATTGAGCTTAGTAATATATGACTCAGTTTAGCAAACCATTTACATGCATGTATTGTTCATCATAGGATATCTCACAGACAGAAGGTGGTTTTAAGGAACTCCAAAACATGCTGAAGAAGAATGTCTGAGAGATCTTCTCAGAGGGCCTTCCTGCTCAAGAACAAAGGAAGCCAGAATACTATCTGGAAGTGAACTGATAGATAAGTAAGAGGCGTAGGGCGCAGGGTTTTGGTCTATCTTCTATGAGGGTAGCAGTTTGACTCCTCCTCAATAGAAGGGAGGACTGATTTTTAGGGATGCAGTAGCTAGAGTAGTCAAGAGGCCATTAAGCTAATAACTAAAGTGGGAGGGAGAAGGAAGATATAAGTACACAGCGCAAAATCAAAATTTTGAAAACAAAATTAATCAAGGAATGAAAGGTCATAAAGAGAAGAAATTCTGGAATTGCCTACACACCAGTGGTAGAAGTCTGGGTAACCAACAAGGGGAATTGGAATATCCAGTTAGCATTATCGAAACCTCTATGCCAAATGAGTCATTGATAACTTGGAAGAAAATCAAATTGAATGTTTATGACTCAATGTCCAAACAGATAAAGCACAGGATGGATTACTAGTGCACCAACTCATACTAGGGAACAAGACAACCAGCTCCTTACATATCTATCTATAATTGCAGGAAAAAAGCTGTGAGAGCATGGAGGTCTTCAATTTGAATGACATATGCTTGAAGTCTCATTCTGTCAGGAATACAACATCCATATAATTTCTAAATATTATAAAAGATAATTTCTGAACTCAAACAGGGCATTCAACTTGGGGAAATTCTATATTAGACCTCATCTGGACAGATAAAGAAGGAGTGATCACAAAATTAAAAATTAATGGTATCCTTCGTGGATGGAATAATGACTAGATCATGTTTATAATGTGCAAACAGAATAAACTCCAGACCGATGATAATTAGACTTAGTGCTTTTAATGGCCAATTTTATACAGCTGAAAAAAATTAGGAGTCAAAGCAGCTTGGAGGAAGAATTTTAATCAGAAAAATGTGAATGATAATTGGGAATAGTTTAAGGATACTTTATTATATTCACAAAATATCTATAATTCCACAAATGAGAAAGGAGGCCATGCTGGTTAAAAATGACTTTGCTAAGAGGGGACATGAAGGCACCTATAAACATTTTTTAAAAATAGTCTGAAACAAATGAAAGAAAGGAGAATTTGAACACAATGAATACAAATCAGATGCTAAAAATTGGAGGAAATGGATAGGGAAAGCAAAGGAACAGAAGGAAACATTTTTAGTCTGCAGTCAAAGATAATAAGTAGGAGTTTTAGCATATTAGGAACAAAATTAATCATGACAATGGTTGTCCATTACAAGATGCACATGGTAGCATTAACAATAACTCAGAAAAGTCAGAAGTGTTCAGTAAGTATTTATGATGTTTATTTTGAAATAAAATGCAAATAAATTTAGTCATACGATATGATTGCACTCTTTTTGTTCCACTGGTATCTTCGGAAGAAGTTAAGTAGAAGCTACAAAAGTTTGATAACTGAAATCAGAAGGTCTAGGCAACTTACAGCCAAGAGTTTTAAAAAAGCTGGCTGAGGAGCTCACTGAACCATTAATGTTGTTTTTCAATAAGTCTCAGACCTCTGGGGAAGTTTAAGAAGACTGGGAAATAGCTAATGTTGTAAACAGGCTAAATGGGATGACCCAGGTAATTATAGGCCTGTCAGTCTGATGTCAATCCCATGCAAGATAATGGAGCGTCTGTTACAAGATTCAATTAATAAAATAATAAAAAAGGCAAGTAACATAATTAATGCCAATAAACATGGGTTTATATCAAATAGATCCTGTCAAAAAAACTTGCTGTCTTTTTAATGTGATCACACGATTGGCTGATAAAGGTAATAGTGTGGATGTAATAGACTTGAGATGGCACAGCATTTTGATTAAAATACTAGAAAGATGCCAAATTAATATGGTACACATTAAATGGATTAAACACTGGCTAAATGATAGGTCTCAAGATGTAATGTAAATGGGAAATCTTCACAAACAAGGTGTGTTTCTACTGGGGTCCTGAAGAAACTAGGTCTTAGCCCTATGCTATTTAATATTTTTATAAATGATTTAAAAAAATAAAATCATCGCTGACAGAGTTTGTAGATGACACAAAAACGGAGGGAATGGTACATAATGAAGAGGATCGCTGACACAGCTATCTGTATTGCTTGGTATGCTGGGAATGAACAAACAACATGCATTTTAATATAGCTAAGTGTAAATGTATTCATCTAGGACCAAATGATATAGATCATCATGGGAGGCCTCTATACTTGGAAGCAATGACTCTGGGGAAAATTTGAAGATAGCAGTGGATAATTTGAGGGTAGTGGTGGGTAATCAGATGACCATGAACTCCCTGTGCTATACTGTGGCCAAAACAGCTAATATGATCCTGGGATGCACCAGGGTAAGCTCAGTTAGGAGTAAAGAGGTTATTTCACCTCTGTATGTGGCTCTGGTGCAACTGTTGCTGGACCACTATGTCCTAAGTTGGTGTCCATAATTCAAAAAGCATATTGATAAATTGGAGCAGGTACACAGAACAGCCACAAGAATGGCTAAAGGATTAGAATAATATGCAGTATAGTGACTTATATCCTTGAGTCTATCTATTTACCTTAACAAAGAGAAGGTTAAGGGGTGACTTGATTACAGTCTATAAGTATCTACACAGCAAGCCATTATTTTGAAATAATGTCGAGCTGGAGGACTTTTTACTCTAACTTCTGTAACCCTCATTTCACGAGGAGTAAGGGAAGTGGAAGGAAGAGTCCTCTTCCTCCGACTTCCTGCTGTGTAGAGAGCGCCAAAACTGAGTTAAGCTATTTCGACTTCAGCTACGCAATTGACATAGCTGAAGTTACGTAATCTTATTTCAACATCTGCCCTGCAATGTAGCCATACCCCGAGAGTAATTAACCATTGGAACAGCTTACCAAAGGTTGTGGTAGATTCTCCATCACTGGCAATTTTAAAATCACAATAGGATTTTTTTTAAAAGATGTGATCAAAAAATTATTCTGGGGAAGATCTATGGTCTATGTTATACAAGAGATCGAACTAGTTGACCACAGTCAGCCCTTTTGGCCTTTCAATCTGTGAAGTTTAAAGAATGTGCTTATGTTCAAACAATTAGGCATGTGCTTAACTTTAACTTTACACTGATTTCTCTGTCATTAAGAATCTGCTGAAGTGCTTTGCTGAATGTGAGCTATAAAACAGGTCCATGGGCCATGCAACCACATTTAAAGTTAGTGTTCTTTGAAAACAAACAGCCTCTATATAGTAAAACTAGACCACTCAAGTTTGATAATACATGAAGCCCGCATATGATATATTGAAACCTTATTAAAAATACAGAGAATACTTATCAGCCCTCTATATCCTGTGGTTGCAATGAGATTCTACATCAAATCTGAATGTGTGAGCTAACAGAAAATTTCTGGCTGGAAAGTAGCAAAATATTAGAAGTTGTAAATTCTTTTACCTGATCTATGAAAATGTGTTCTTGAAACCAATTTATGTCCAGCGCTACCAGATTTATCATGCAACTTAAAATGAAAGAAAATAAACCATATAGCATGCTTTGTAGTTTATCTCCCCTGCCATGCATATCAATTAAGCAAAAAAGAGTTTGTTCCACAAAAGCTAAATGCATATAGGATATAGAGGCAGTGTGGCCTAGTGATTAGGACCTGATGAGGCTACATATTTCTAACCCCATCCCCCCAGCTAATTATTATCAAATTTAGCATGAAACCCTGGCCAACATTTTTAGCACTTAAGACCTTATTTTCAGAAGTCTTGAGCACTCACACTCCCATTGGAGATACAGGTTGTCAGCATCTGTAGTTTACCAGTAAAGACACGTGATTCTCATGAAGTTATCTGTTCAGTTTATGGGGTTAATTCTCACCATATGCCTCTGATACTTATATGGACCCCCTGAGCATAGTATTTGAGAACCTCATGATACCTCAGGGAGGTAGGTGAATACATTCACGTAGGGAACTGTGGCACATAGAAACTAAGTAGTTCCTCAAGGTGTCACAGTGTCAAAGGCAGAGCTGGGAATTGAACCTGAATGCCTTAAGTTAGCACTTTTAACTACTGGACCATCCTTTTTCCTCATCTATCCTCATGCATTCTTTTCAGGCATAAAATTACCAGTTCAAAACTATACCCAGTAAAATACTCTTCCAGGCCAAAAGAACATTAATAGTGCAGAAGAAAGGAAAATGTTCAAAAAAGTTTGATGTGTGATGTTGCCCTTATCTTATGGTGGTAAGTCTGTACAGTAAACCGTATTCCAACTGTGACTTCATTTATTTCACCAAGGGTAGTTTACAGTCTCAGAAGAAAATGGCCTAGCACTAAACAGATACAAGGGAGGAAAAGTAGGACAGTTTTTGCCCTAGAGAAATATATGCAGAGTCCAGTAAAAGAGTTCAGTGTTCCTCTAAAATTAGAGATTAAATCAATTATGCAACACTAAACCACAGCAGATGTAGAATTAAAAAAAAATCTGTGCAAAATTAGCCAGCCTGTCATGTTCTTTTAATATTTCAAAATTACAGTTTTGGTGAAAAATATATATATATATATATATATATATTTTTCACTTAAAACCTCTTTAAGAGCCTTTAAAAATGAATAAATATGCAAATTCCAGGTTCCCTAGCCATTCAAGACTGACATTCTTGGAGATTTAAGTCCTCTATGTATCACCTGAACAGGTGTAGTACAAGAAGTACAGTGTTCGATC